CAAGAGCTAAATATTTTTTTCTTATAACTACCTTTTTATATACCTACTTAAAAGTTAAAAGTTAAATAGTTAAATCGGTAATCTAAAATGTTCAAAAAAATCAAACAAAATTGTTGGTAAACATAGTTCATTATTCATTATAGTAATTTTTCGTGATATAAAATTGAGAACAATTTTATTTTATAATTATTAATAATAATTTACCTACTATACCTACATAGGTACTTATATAATTTTATTTTTTTTAAAACTATTGGACTCGTTAAAAAAATATATTTTGGGGATAAAGATGGGCCAAAAAAATCAATTTGCCCCAGGACCGTGCCCCCCTGGGCCCCCTTTAATCCGGGCTTGTTTGGATACTGTCATCTACAAAGTCATTTTGACCGTCCATATTATCAGTTGTATTTTCACACTATCTTAAGGATAAATATAATCAATGGATAAAGTATTATATACCCAGTTTACTTACCAGACTACTCGAAAAATATTAATATCAACGGGCATACGGCTAGTATGCATAATAAATAAACGTTAATTAATATTTGTATAGTATACAGGGTGATTTTTTTTATCGAAGAACACTCATTATTTCTGAAAATAAAGACTTTTTACCAAAATTTTTTTTTCTAAAAATTTTAGTTGCATACTTTTCTACATTTGTATAACACTTTAATTTTTTTCACCCTTATATTTATTGGTCAAACTATTATCAACTTTTGATTTTCAAATAGTAACCTATACTTAAAATTTCATAAGTTAATAAGGCTATTTTTTTTTATGAATTATCACGTTTAAATTTTAATTTTTCGTTAATCGGTTGATGAGATATTATTCTTCAAAGTTGGGTTGTTTTGGGAGGTGGTTTTGTGTGTAAAGTAAATGAGTTATACCTTGTCAGGTAATACCGCAGTTATTTGGATTTTTATGCCCCAGGGCTAAAGATATTACATTTTAAAATCAATTCAAGTAGGTGCAGTAAGGTTGAGTTGTGCCCCTAAATGTATTGTATAATATCCATTTGGCTGGGTGTCCACCGTTCGTCCCACGGAAGGTGATTTCGGCACTGGTCATAAGCACTCATAATAATACTTATCAATTATAAAGACCAGTAGTTATAAGCAGGGTTGGGATTTTATAGCACTTAAAATTGCATAAATATGCGCTATAATATGACCTTAACTTTCGCTAAATATGCGTTAAAAATATGCAATAAAAACAACAAAATATGAAAAATAGAAATTTATTAAGTAATTACTTACAAATTTGAAATTATTATAGGTATTTACTTAAGTTAATTATCGCTAAATATGCGCTAAAAATATGCAAACAACAAAATATGAAAAAAAAAGCAAATTTATATAAAACCTATATATTAACGCTGTACGGCGTTGCATCATCGTAATCGGCCTATTAACTTAATCTATAGGTACATTTACAATTTATTTGATAATTCAATTGACAAAAATCTAAAAACACGTTTACTATAATATAATTTCATAAAATTTTGACAGATTTTGATTCAAAAACAGGTAAAAATGCAAAAAAGTCTCAAAAAATCCCAAAAAAGCAACAAAAACTAAAAAATCGTAAAATATGCAAAAAAAAGCAAAATAAAATTTTTAATTTGAGTTCTCTGTATCATGAAACACATTTTTAGCTTACTCTGCTATTTTTTAAGCATCTCATAAGAAATATGCAAATGCTATAAAATCCCAACCCTGGTTATAAGTAATACATTTTATATCATTCGATCCAAAGGTTGATAATAAATTGACAATTTATTGATAACCATGGTTGTGGCATATACTGGCATATGAACCGGCTAGATAGCTATGTGTCTATGCCTGGTGGCTAGTACCTACTATTACGTACAATAACTTATTGTGTGATCAATTTTTTTAAATTATTGATATTATTAATACCATAAACATTAAACTTATGTACCCATTAAGAGGATGCTATCCATGCATTTGTTGTCTCCGTATTACACACGTACGACATAACAAATTTTCGTTCACTAGTTTCAATAGTGTGCTGTTAGTTTTGATTTAGAGTTTTACTATTATCAATTTTTTTAGATTATAACATTATCTGTGCTTAAGCGTTGGATTTTATTTGCTATTTTAATTTTGAAGCGAAATATGAGCATTTTTAATTTCATTATCAATAATAAATAAATTATAGCTAATTAATAAATAAATAATAGCTTATTTCATTTGTCATAGACAAAAATACAATTGCAAAAAAAAAAACTATAAAGACGGAAATATCATATATTTTTTAGGAAACCAAACAAAACTTAGTACCTAAGCTAATTAAATAATTATAAATTATTCATATGAATAATAACAAAAATAATAAAATAAAATAACTAAAATCATGTTTGTTATGATTTTTTACTATAAAATTAATGAAATGTTGAATTTTTCTCAAAAAAATAATTTCCATAAATTAAATAATTGATATTTTTCTTACCAGCTAAAACATGATAAAAATAAACAAAAAAAAAAATAGTAAGGTTAAGGTAAAAAAATTAATATTTTTTGAATGATTATTGATGTTGAATATTGATGAACTATTTTCACTGCTACTTAACATTTTTTTTTTTCATTTTCTCATTGAGAATTCAATGCTATACATTTTTCAAGAGTATTTAAGAGGATGTCAGCGCACCATTTGTTTTCTCTCTCTGACCCACGCCCAACATAGACAAAACGCATTTACGCAGAAACATTTTTTCTATGTTTTTAAGTAATCTTAGAGTAAAATCACCTATTACAAAAAAGATAGAGAATAATATTTTTGAGGGAATGTCATATCGATTTGTCTAAATATTGTCTCAAAACAATTTAAACATCATTTTAATGTACAACATTTTTTTGTTTATTTTGAAAGTTTAATACAAAGTCAAATAACAATAAAATATAAAATGGATATGACATTCCCTCAAAAATATTATTTTCCATCTTTTTTGTAATAGGTGATTTTACTCTAAGATTACTTAAAACATAGAAAAAATGATTCTGCGTACATGCGTTTTGTCTATGCTGCGCGTGGGCCAGAGAGAGAAAACAAATGGTGCGCTGACATCCTCTTAAGTAAAAAAATGTAATACATTAACCTAAAAAAAAATATCTTATATATTTATATATAAATTCTACTAAAAAATCATAAATATTTTGAAATCATAAAATAAAATATAATAATCTTAAATGATTATTATAATAAAATTACTTGAAGTTAACATTATCCAAAATAAATGGTGATTTTTCTTCTGTCCATTTTAATATTATTTGACTTAGTGGTGAATCCAATGTATTTAGTGTCTTTGGAATATCACTCGACTTTAATGTAAACTTACTCCTATTACCCAAGGATTCATAAAATTAAAAAAATTATAATATGTAAGTTGCTTAAGCTGAAAGAGGTCGGACAGTGGCTGGATTTTGATGCTTCCGCCACAATCTTTTTGATAAGATGACACAGCTGCATTAAAACCATAAATGAAAAATACAGGTTGCACATCATCCTATACCAAAAGTATTAAAGTTTCACTATGAAATTACGAGATTTGGTTTGTTGTGTTAATCATGGTGTGTCTTAAGGCATTTAGTACTGTAGATCAGCGGTCTCCAACCTTTTTTTTTATGGCGGGCCAACATTTTTAGAGGAATAGATTGGTTAAGAAATTGAAGAATAAATAAGATTTATTTAGAAAAATGAATATTTTATTTTATTTTCTATTATTAGTTAGTGTTACTAATTAGTATATTATAGGTATAAATTACTATTATAAGCTGTTACGAATAACACCAAAAGAAAAAACTAATTAATTAATTATTTACAATACATTAATGTATATATTTCTGTAAAAAACTTCTTTAATTAAGCCATCATTTAATATTTAATGACAGTTGGAATGCTTTAAACTTAAATAGGTAATTTTTTGGTCACATTTATGAATTTAGTCACTGAGTCACATTTTTAAATATCTTTAACCACTTCCAGCCTTGCTGAAACTACAACATACAATTGACTTGCTGCACGAGTATTGGACTAGATCTCCCGTAACTGGCAATCATTACATGAATATATTATTACGGGGTGACTCGACGTCTGTTTTATGAGTGTTCCAAGTACGCCATTGTCATTGCGGCACCTTCACTGATCGGGCACATAACGTTTCGGACCACCGTTGTTTTATCTTTGTCGCGTGAGTATTGTGAAAATCTGGTTTTGCGACCGCAGTAGTATTACCATTCTGTTCTAATTGTCTTTATAATGATGAATTCAAATAGCTTCAAATAGTAAAATATAATATTGTTGATATTGTTCTCGATTAGTCTTGTAATACCTAGTTAATACCCAATTGCATAAACAATTAATTATTCTTTTATTGGTTCCAAAATGTCTAAATTTCCAATAGAAAATAATAAAATAATTATAAATAATTCTACAAAATAAAATAAATCCATTTCATTTACAAAAACATAAAATCCTAAGAACAGTGAAGTAAAAGAGACATGTGTCTTAATTCATTGTTGAAAAAAAAGAATTTGTGTAATTTTGAGTTATTTATTTTATAGTATATAAAATTAATAGTCTAGTTTAATTAATACTAATTATAGTAATCAATGATAATTGGGAATAATATGAACATTATAAATTGATATATAACTATAGTAATTAATATGATATTATAGGATCATTATCTATATGATAACAAACACAATACATTAATAATTATTGTAACAATTTAACATTATTCAAATTGAATACTTAAAGACATATTCATATTGATATATGTATATATAAATTTTATATTAGTCAAATATTTTAATGTTTCTTTCTTATTGCCTTCGGATTCAAAAGATATGTTACTAAGTAATTTTGTATCATATTCATTACTCATCACTTTATAAAAATCAGAATATGCATTTTAATTTGTGGTTATTTTATTTGTAATAATAGTTGATCAACGTCCAAAGTTTGTTAAAATGTCCAAAACACATAACTTAATCTGTGATAAGAAAAATAATGCACAAAAATCGGTACAGTATACATTTAAATATTTGTATTACACTAATATACAACTTACATATTAATAATTTGTCATGTTTCATTTATTTATATTAAAGATATCTGCTGCTGAAGAAAAATTTGTTGGTGTTATTGATGAAGGCGTTAGCAGTACACGTTTCTTGGTATATACTATACACCATAATAATAATAATAATAATAGTATATACCTATACTGTTATACTTCATAAATATAGTAATACAATTAATGTTCTTAACAATAATTTTTCAAGACTTACTAACTAATCTTTTCATTGTTGGATTTAATATTCATTACTTACAATAATAGTTGGGAATTATAATTTTATTAATATACAGATTATATTATATTATATTATATTATAATTTTACTACTATGGGTTAATTACTTTAAATTGAAGAATTTTACATTTAAAGTTAAATATTTTATAGGTTTTTTCATCAAAAACTCAACTGCCAGTAGCCAGCCATGAAATAAGTGTAACCAACATAAGCGGTTATGAAGGATGGGTGGAACAAGATCCAGAGGATATTCTAATTGAAGTAAAAAGAACCATAGTTTTAACATGCAATAAACTCAAAATGATGAACATATCACCTTCAGTTATTGCTGCGATAGGCGTGACAAATCAACGAGATGCAACTTTAGTGTGGGACAAGTATACAGGGTCACCACTATACAATGCTATAAGTAAATACCATTTTTATACCTCTAAGTAAACTCTATTAATTATAAGACTTTTAATTTAAAATTAACAATATCTAAATGTTAAATAACTACTATTCTATAGTATGGATGGATATGATGACTACACAATCAATAGTTAATAGATTCATCAACAAACGAATTCCTAACTGTGATACATTGGATGAACAAAAAAGGTGAGATAATATATAAAAGGAACAGCATACATTGTTCTATAGTAAGGCCAATCATATTAATTTTAAAACTTCTAAATTGATTTAATATTTTTTCTAGACAACCTTCTACTGAAATTAGTTTCACTTTTACTTTATAATTTAAGATATTATAAGATAGGTAACAACATAACAAAAGTACATAATATTTTTCTATAATTTGATCATTATTCTATTGTAACGTGCTACTCAGCGTTACTCGTAGAAATGGAAGTAATAATTGAACAAAACCTCTTTGATGATATTTATTGTATTTATTTAATGTAATCAGTGTTATGGAAAATATTCTAAGTCCAAATAATTATGTTTAATTGACTTAAGCGAGTTGTGACTATGAGTATTTAGTGACTGTTCAAGTTGAGGCTGGTTGTTCGTCTGATGAGCGCTTGTCCATCAGCTCTCCTCGATGGATCTCTGTCCCTTGTCCCTTCCATAATTTTTAAGACCATACATGGTCCTTCCATTATTTCTAAGACCATACATGGTCCTTCCATTATTTTTAAGACCATACATGGTCTTGCGGTTAAGCCTATTGTGATTTCACACGCTTGCACGCGCCGGAAGTCCACATATATCTCTATCGCACATTTGTGGTGTTATTCAAATAACAGCACAAATCTAAACTATATTATTCTAGGATTATTCATATACGTAGTCATATATCTATTGTCGCACGCCGTTCATGGTCACGCACTCGATATTACTATTATTGATATTATAATTATTACTATTCGAAGAAGCGCTCGAGTATAATATTTATATTTACGCGGTGCGAATATTATAATGATTACGTATACATTATAATGTGTTTAAGCCATATGGCAAGATAGTCACAGCTCGCTACACTATTATCATGTGATAATACTAATTTGCTTATGTTTATTTGTGAATTATCTGATAGACATTTGCATTACAAATGCGGTTCGGCAATAAATCCATACTTCAGTGTAGTCAAATTGATTTGGTTAATGGAAAACATACCTCAAGTTTCAAAAGCTATTCAAGAAGAAAGGTGTATGTTTGGTACAATGGATTCATGGCTAATTTGGGTAATAACTGATAACCTAAGGTGCTACTAATAGAAAGGCTTGGCAAGTTAACTATTTTTTATAATTTGTTTAATTAATATAGAAAAATAATTTAAGTTTAAAGTTAAAAGTTACTTTTTTTTAAAAGTTGCAAAGGTTGCCAGTTAACTAGAAAATGAAATGAACTTAACTTAGTTAAAAAATCAGTCTTTTTTTAAAAAAAAATTAAAAATTATACCTTAAAGCTAACAATACTATAGTAATTTAATAAAATATAAGTTATATTAAAGGAGCCCAAAACACAATAAAAAATATATATTTTTTTTTTTTTAATTCGATAGAATGTTCAATTCTAAGAATACTGGTATAGGTTTTACGTTTCTTCACATTATTCAATAAGTTATGAGTAGGTCACGGATGTTGTAGTAGTAAAAAACTAGTAAAATTGATTGTAGTATTGCACTAAAAAATACTGAAAATTGCACTTAAAATATTAAAAGTTGCACTAAAAAATAACAACGTTTCGTTATAATTTATAGATGTTTTATTTTAATTTTACAAAAATAATTTTTTTACATTTCATAATAATAAATAATTAATAATCTATGCGCAGGTATACTAATACGATATTTTTTTCAATAACTTTCTTGAATTTTTCATAGACTGAAATTCCGATTTCACAAAATGTATTGTCTAATTTACTTTGAACATTTTTAATTATTCCAATAGCTTCAACTATTGGAAGTCCTTGATTTTCTAATTTTAAAATCGCGTCCAGCAAAAATCGGTAGTTCGAGTGAATAAATACTTAATCGACTGAAGTTGAAATTTCAACAAGTTAAGCGTTCACTTTTGTTTCGCACAATTTACAGAAAAGTATACAGATTCATCACATGAAAATACATTCTTACTAAATTCTGATTCGTATTTTTTTAAAACAGTGGAAATATTTGGGTATAATTTTCGGCATATTTATAGAACAATAATAGAACGCGATAGCTCAAAATTCACGGAGTGACTGAAGAACAGATTATAACAGTCAAACAGTCACATTTCACAAATTATTTTTGTATTGTATTGAATATCAACCAACTTAATTTAATTTAATTTAATGTAATGTATTTTTTATATATATTAAAGTATAATCTTATCTATACGACTGTCGAGGTTCGACTATAGTTAAAACAGTTGTATAAATTAGTAAATTCAACAAAATTGCAATACAATTGAAAAAATTCCAAAAATTGAAAAAAATTGCACTTAAAACTTTTAGATTTGAATTCGTACTTACATGCGATGTATATAAAACTTACTTAACTATAAATTGGAAAAGTAGAAGAAAAGTTGCAAATGCAACAACATCCGTGTCCTAGTTATGAGCAATTGTAAAAGATCTGTGACGTCATTGGCGGCCCGGCTTATGGTAATTTCCCATCTCATACATGTAAAAGTTCTTTGCTTCACACAACGATTTACCAACCTAAAAATGTTATTTTTGAAATTTAATTTACTTATAAATGTATGGTTATATGTGTTTAAGACAATACAAGTATTAGAATTTCTATATAATGTATAGTTTTTTAAATATGAAAATCTTAAAAGAGATATTTGAATTTGAATTTTATATTTAACAAAAATATCACTGAAAAGATTTATTAGCAATTAAAAAACTAAACATTATATTGAATTTATAATACTTTTATCGTCTTAAACACATAAAATCACCCATTTATTTGTAAATTAAATTTCAAAAATAAAATTGTTAAATTGGTAAATAGTTGTGTGAAGCGAGGAACTTGTACACGTATGAGATAGGCAATTACGTATGAGCTGGACTCAATATTTCTTGAAGTAATCAATTTTTTATACATCAGATTTATACCAAATCATTTAATATAACCATAGCTACAATAATTTTTCTTTTAAAAACAATTTTTAGAACATTTTTTTTTGTGGTTATCCTCTTTTAATGTATTACCTACTTTATAGTTTATTGTATAAGAGTTTCTAGTTTTTCTAATATGATTTATAAACCACAATACAATTCATGAATATCAATATACCGTGTTACATTTTATACTCATACAGTTCTGTAGTTATTTAGTGGCATATCCAGGGGTGGTTGAATAGTTTTAAATATATTTATATTTTAAGATAAAAAAAATAATAACCTTGGTTGATAACTGATAAGTTATTCAGTATCAATGTTTTGTGTGTGTAATCAATATAATATTTCTAATCATCTATAAACAAACACATTTAAATTTTAACAACATAAGTTTTTTTTATCACAGCATCATACTTAAGTGGTACAAAAAAATCTCAAATATTCAAAAATATGGTCTTTTAATATACTTAAAAATTCCAAAAACAAGAATTTTAATATAATATGCAGAATTTAAACATAAAAATCAGGCCAGCATGCTTAAAAATCAGCCTAAATAGTGTTAAACGAAGAAATTTGTGTAGACACATGCAAATACTCAGCAATCATAATTAAAATTTTGGCATTTAATTGGTCGGGTGTAGTTATTAGCATACTCACGTGCTTGATTTAAAGGATATTATTTTTCTATTTAGTGGATCCTTAATCCACATAAAATTCAAAAGTAATATATAGCATATTATAATAAATCGAGCAGACATAAAATCAATTAATAATAATTTTTAACAAACCTAATATTACCCTACTTTAACTATTATTGTTTCTGTTGAACTGTTGTTTTAATTACCCGTTGAAAAATATCAACTTTTATGATGTTTTATTGATTTTCCATTTTTGCATTAAAAATGTTATCTATGCTCTGGCCCCTTTCTGTAATTTTTGTTTGCACTTAGAAAAGCTATTTTTAAAATTGAAAATCTTATAAAAATCTATCTAAATTTTAAAAAAATAAATAAATCTCTAAAGTAAAAAAACCTTATAAATCTTAAAAAACATGTTTTATTTTATCTATTATTATGAATAAAATTAAAAAAAAAAAACTAAAATTATCTAATTAAAAATTATTTTATGTTCCACTTTCTAAAATTTTATTCATTATTGAATATTAAATATTAAACAGATTCTTAGAAAAAAAAACCAATTGTGCTAATTGTTGCTTTCTTAAGTTCACTTGTAACTACAAAATGTATTCAATTTCTGTTTTTATAGAATCTTACTGGTGGTATAAATGGTGGAGTTCATATGACTGATGTTACTAATGCTTCTCGGACTATGCTGATGAATATTCACTCATTAAGATGGGATAAGACTTTGATTGAGTATGTATACTTTTTATTAGTCATAGGTTTACTATTATTATTTATTTGTAATACTATGTTAGTGTTATGTTACATTAAATGTTGTACATTCATGTTAACAACAATATATACATTGTTTTGATTTTCTAGAGGCTAACATTCAATTTTCAATTTTTTTATTTCAACTTCTTCATAATAATATTTACATTTAAAGTCGATATTTACTCCCTATAAGCAATAGCTTGTGGTGAGAGGTAGGGTGTCTATTACAATATTATTAATCCAATATATATTATGAGATTCAGAAAGTAATTAATTAAAAAAAAAAAGTTTTTTTAATTATTTATGTATATTTTTAAAATTGATGTTTGATTTTATAACTATTCCAATGTTAATATATATTTAAGTTACAATTACTGTTAAACATATTAGTATATAAAGTACGAACATGAAGGAATTACTTTTTGATCAATCTAATTTTATTGAAATTTATTTTATAATTTCGTTTCAGATTTTTTGATATACCCAAGTCTCTGATATTCCCCGATATAAGGAGTTGTTCCGAGGTATATGGGGTTATGGCTGGTGGACCATTCATTAACACGCCAATATCAGGGGTAATAAATAAATTATTAATTATTAATTAAAAAAAAAATCAAACTTTTTTCTCTGCACACTGTCAAATTATTATTTATATTATTAATACATGGTTTTAGTGCATTGGTGATCATCAAGGAGCACTGCTGGGTCAGCTATGTTTCACAGCTGGCCAAGCTAAGTGCACATTTGGTTCTAACTGCTTTTTGCTATATAACACTGGTCGCAAGGTAGGCATGATTTGTTTTATTTTTTCAACATCAAAATAAAAAAGTTATACTGAATATAAACACTTATTTTTAAGAGATTCTTCCCACTTTGCATACTATACCAATAATTAAGTCATAATTTTCTTGAAAGCATGATAAATTAATGCAAAAAAATTTTGATAATTCTAAAAATTTGTTAAGAAGAGCCCTCCGACATTTCTTGTCTCACAAGTGTACAACACGACAAATTTTGGTCTCAGGAGATAACGTTTAGCTCCGTTAGCTTAAACATTTTGTGAATTGACCTCTTGTAAAATTTAAAGGTAAGATTATTATCTAGGGCATTTCATTGGCCTTTTGTTGTATTTTAATTTTAAAGTGAGTTATGAGTATTTAAATTTTTTTTTTTTGATTAACCCGTTTCAACTTAGATCAGCGGGTGGTTGTTTTAAACAGTGGTGAAGGGACTATTGGTAAACACGTATGATTTTTGACAGGGTTTGACAGAATTTCAATTGGGCACCTGTAGATTTCTGCCATGCCATTTATCACATTCTGGGATCCCGGCCTCTCTCTCCAGACAGATGTCTGCCCAGAGAGAAGTGCCGCCCGTGACCGAGATTCAAACCGGTGACGGTGCGAGTCGTAACCGACACTTTAGTCTGCTTGACCACTTCGTCCACCATTTAAAAATTGTAAATGGTGTTTGTAGATCTTAAAATACTCATAACTTGTTTTAAAATTAAAATATAATTAATAGCCTGTGAGATGCTCTAGGTAAAAATCTAGAGGTCAATTCACTCTAATTTTAAAAAAAAAAATTTAATAATTGTATTAATTGTTTGTTAAAAACCTTGAAAATTGAATACAAGGGCTCCTGATATATTGTTACTATAGCAATTGAAAAATACAAATGCACTATTTCTTTATAAGCATTACTCACCTTATTATTCTCTCAGCTTTAAAAAAAAAAAAATAATTTGTTTTATTTTATTTTATTCAGCCAGTGATTTCTAATTGTGGCCTTTTAACTACCGTCGCTTACAAGATAGGCAAACACACCGATCCTATTTATGCGCTTGAAGGATCTGCGACTGTAGCTGAATATACTACTGAGTGGTTGAAAAATAATCTATGGATCATGGATATTTTCAAGAGCACAGAGGCTGCTGAAGACACAAATAATATTCATTTTGTTCCTGCTCTTCCTGAACTTTATGCACCGTTCTGGACAACTGGTACAGATGGGTTAGTAGCATTATAAAAACAAATACCTTATTGATTTTTTGTGTAATAATTTATGGTCACTGTTGAATTTGTGTTTGATTTACAAATTGGTTTTTTTTTTTGAAAAGTGGACTAATTCACCTTGTATGTTGTACAGTAAATGCACTGGGGTGACTATGGAGACTACAGAAGCACATCTAATGCGAGACACTCTTGAAGGAATCTGTTTCCAGACAAAAGAGGTTATGCAATCTATGCAGTCAGACACTGGACATCCTGTAATGGCATTGAATGTAGATGGCAGTATGTCTACTAACGATACTTTTTTGAAGATTCTTACAAATATTTGCTGTCTTCCCGTAGGTAAGTTTGAATACAAGAATTTTCAATTAAGTTTAAGCTAAATTCTTCTTTTAACATTAACCTCATAAAAAAAAGATTGAATTCCTTACATATTTTGTAGGCACACATATTATATACAAAATTAAAAATAAATACAGTGTGTTCATTAGTTTCATGTTGTTGTAATAATTCGAGTTACATACACAATCAACAGAATAATTAATAGATAACCATAATTTTGTAATCCTCAAGGCAAATTATTATTATCAAAGAGTAATAATTATTTAGAGCTTATAAATTGTAAGAGTTGCATATGTTTCTGTATACTCTAGGTTTATAGCAGACCAAGCTTTAAATTCATTCTATATTTTTATAGGTACACAATTTGCAATGCCAAATTTAAAATAAAAATAAAAAATGCATATTTTATCCACCTTAATTTAAAAGTACTATTATCATATATGCTTCAAAGCCCGTAGTTTTGATAATATTTGTTCTTTCATTGATATTTTAAAATGTATGTCGAATCTTAATACCTTTGATTTGGAATCTTCTTTGTACAAAATATTATTTGGTTGAATAAATCATTGAGAAATCTAATTAGGTATTTAAATTATCCCACAAAAAATATAAACCAACAAACTCCATTGTTGATTATGATGTTTTTCCAATTTGTGTAAAAAATGTAAAAACTCATCTTTGCTAGTTCATAACTCATTTATATTTAACGTAGAGCTCAATATCAACTATTATTATAAAGAGGTAAAGTTTGTGAGGTTGTAGACTGTAGAGGGTAATCTCTGGATTTACTGAACCGATTTTGAAAATTCTTTTACTAATAGAATAATGCATTCCTAAGTAACATATGCTAATTTTAAAAGGGTAATTTAAAACCCGGGGAGGTGTTCAAACAGGGATTTTGAAATTTATCGAAATGTTTGTTTGAAAATAGTTGCTATTGATTATAGGAGAAATAATTAGTAGAAATAATTTTTTTATTATTTATTTATTAGTGGTTATTATTAGTTAAATAACTAAAATTGGCCTTTACCAACTGGTAGGGAACTAGCAACTTTCCACAAATCTAATTTTTCTTTTTCTTTTATTTTACAAAATAATATGTTATATGTATACTAACAATACAGCTATATTCATAATCAATAGTTAATAAATAAATTAAATTTTTTTTTGAAATTAAGAATACCTATTTTTGTGTTTTAACCTATAACTACCAAACCCAACTAATATTTATTTTTGTCTGAAAATAGTGCGCCCTAAAATATTAGAAACTACAGCTCTAGGCGCTGCATTAGCCGCTGGTTTTGCTGTTGGCGTATGGAATATAAACACTGTTGAATCAAACTATGACACTTTTATCCACACTGTATCAAAAGAAGGCAAGTATTTATTCAATTAAATGTTATTTAACGTTTATGTATTAGTATTGAATACTAATAAAAAAAAAACCTAGATTAATAATCTTTTCTGTTCTAGAACATAAATCTGAATGTGTTTCTCTAAAAAAAACCATAGACCCGAATAAAGGTTTGAACAAAATTGATGAAGAAAATGAAAATGATGATTTTGCTGGGTTTTAGCCATTACGAATTATCAAAAGTTGAGTTCTAAAATGTATATGTGATTTTTTAACATTACTGTGTTGAAATTAAAAGTTAATTGTATTAAGTTGAATACAGTATTTTATGTTATGTATATTTATACAATTTTTAAAAATGTACCACTCTAATTGATGAAAAAATAAAAATATTTTATTTGAAAAATGAATATACCTAATATTTTTTGTTATTTCTGAAAAACAGAATATTATCAGTTCAATGTACCAACTTTTGTGGCAAATCTCTTTCCAAATGTCATCATTTTTCAAGTCTTAAAAAAATTTCATATGCAAGTAATTATTAATAAATAATATATATATATATATTACAATAATTGGTGCTGTAACAGTCAATATTTATGATTATCTAGACCTGTTATCGGAGAATGGTTTTCGTTCTTTTATTAATGTGTTTACTATACTCTGTTCCACGAGATATCATGCCACTCACCGACCAAAACTGGTTCCTCTACGCCACACCTGTCATAGGGGAACCAGTTTCGACGGCAGGGGGATGCGCAGAACCGGCATGATCTCTCCTGGTACAGAGTATAGTTTATCAGTTGGTCAACAACATTCGTGTTTAGATCACATCTTCATTAGAGACAATATTAATTCATCCAGGAATATAAACACAGGGTGTTTAGTTAACTGATATCACCGACTATTGCTCAATTTTGGTACCTATAAATTCCAATACCTGTGAAAGCTAAAAAACTTTAGTTGTACTATCAATGTTATAAACTATGAAAATTGAAAGATTTTGTGTTTTAGCGATCACGTTAATTGATTCGAGACGGGGAAAAAAATTTAAAAGCTTTTGATAATATTGATACTGCAGTCGTTAATCTGCGGTGCGACCGTAATACCGAGACAATGGTATCGTACAAATAATATTATGTTGTATGTAGACACAATAGTACCTTTAGCTATCTTATTCAATGTTCGGACACTAGACACTACAAAGGCACAACTATATAATAATATGATATGGATTATAGACCTCTAAATATGCCTGGAGAGCTGAGGTTGTATAAATAACTCACGAGGCACAATCACATATTGTTTTTGTGTTGATATGATGCATAGGGAATAAGACGTACTACCTACAATAAGTATAATAACTTAAAAATGCACACAATTCTATGTTATCAGAATATAACAACGATGGACAATGTCACAATGATATTATTATGATGTAAGTACGAAGCATTTCTACATAATATTATAGACAAGGCTTATTAAACAGTTTTCTGAACAAAAAAATAATAATCAAATATATATACATACCTTTATAATATTTACAACTTTTTCACACGGACAATAAAGACGACAATTGATTTTATAGTATTTTAACACTTAATAAGTCACATCAATGTTTATAGTGCTCTGCAAATCCCGTTACGCATAATTTATAAATATTAAATATTATATTGAGTTATTAGTTGAGTGCCACCATTTGATAATCTTTTACTGAAACATTGGCTGCTTGTACACCCTAAGAACCATCATGACCAACCTTAACAAATTTGAATTTATGTAACCTGTTTATATGAAAACATTCGTGTTTTTAAGATGCTTGAAATGGTGTTATTATCAGAGCTTGCATTTGAAAAAAATTTCGTTTTATGTTATTCACAATTAAAACGTTACAAAATTTTAACCGTACAGTATTATGTACTTAAATTTGTACAGTTTTGTACAATTGTCAAACCAGTGGCGGCTCATTGTTTCATAGAAGGTGGAGCACAAAATTCAAATATTGCATCCTATTGTATTTTCATAATTTACCACCTTTAACTTCTGTTGGTTTTTAATTTAACTCAAGTCATGTATTGTGTACTAAATAATTAACCGTTTTTATAGTTTATTGATAGGATACATTTTATTGTTCACTGATGTTGTTATAGTGTTCTAGATTTTACCTCAAGGCTTGGATTTTCACGTTTATCAAATTTAATATTTAAAAATTATTCTGTAGTTCAAAAGTCATAAAATTTTCAATTTTTACACCTAAGGATTGAAAATTTAAAACAAGGTTCCATATAATAAAACGTAGCACGCCAAAAAGCCACCCGACATAAGGCCACGTGATAACGACAAAAGACCATTCGACAAAACGCCATCACCAAAATCCGACAAAATGCCACCCGACAAAAAACCATCGTACCACACTACCAACCGTAAATTTGCGAATGAAAATCGTACACTAATGAATCGTCAAAAAGCCACTCGACAAATAACCACCCGCCATAAAGCCACATGTAAACGACAAAAAGCCATTCGACAAAACACCATCATCATAATTCGACAAGAAGCCACTCGACAAAAAACCATCATACCACACTACCAACCGTATAAATACGGTAACATTATCGTATTAATACGATAAAAATATCGACAAAATGTCACTTAAATTAATTATCAAAATGAATTAAGTTTTTGGCGCTTGATTTGAAACACTAATCAGATAATAGATATTAAAATTTAAATCTCATGTCTCATGGGCCATGGCATAACATTTTAAAATGTCAGGACTCACGTCGTTAAGAATTTTCTTTAGTGCTTCAACATTTTCAAGTTACAAGTTGTGAATTATTGTTGATGATTATTAAATAATGCTCGATATATTTCAACATGAACAACTAAATTATAAAAAAACGTTAAAGCGAAACGTTTAAAACCAGAAAGTAAGTACTTCTAAATTCTGAATGGAGCGAAGAATGTGGCAACGATTTTCCGATGTGTTTAATACTAATTTTTTTTTGTCTGTAAACACCTTTCAGGGGGGCACTAATAACTATAAAAACTAATAACGCACCAATTAAAATACATTTTGTACTATATACTTTTCTTGTAGAAAGTGAATCTAGTTAGTATACTTTGGAGGGTAAAAAGTAAGACATGTCAGTAATTTTTAAAGGGGATTAGGTTAAGCAAAAAAAAAAAAAAAAATATGAAAATTGAAATCTTTTGGTACCTAATACTTTTATATTTTTTGGTGTTACAGAAACTTTTAACTTTTAAGTATATATAAACGTTGTATATAAGTACTTTAAATTTCACCAAATATTTATATGATCTTTATCCATACATCATATAATTTTCAAAATATTTTGACTCTTAATGAGCTATTTGTAACCATCAGAAATTTGCTTTCAATTATCGTTATTTACTATAGGTATATTATATATAATATATTAATATATTGATGGTTTATTTAACTTGCCAGTAAATAAAAAATGTATTATTTGATATAATTAGATGATACCGTTATATTATTATTTATATTATCTAATAAAAATATAGGTCCTTAATACAAAAACCATGTGTTATTGTAAAAAAAAGTAAAATACTCGTTTGACAACAACTTATTAGAGTTGAATATATTAGTTTTAATAACATTTAATTAATAATATTATAATTGAACAAAACCTTTGTCACAAAATATTTATAAAAAAAAAAAGATTACAATAAACAAATAAAAAATAACATAACATATTACCTGAGTTAGGGCAATATGTTATACAGTTTTTATATAACTTAATTAGTAATTAATTACAAATTTTAATGTAATTAAAATGTATTTTTAAGCTACATTATTTCATTTTATGAAACCTTAATATTTGTCAATTATTTTACATTTCTATATTAGATGTACTTATCAATAGATATAAAATTAATAAATAATCACTGTTGAACTGTCGACTGATAAACAACTTACAACTAGATATAGAACTTCAAACCTTACAACAAATTTGAAGATATCAATAAATTAGTTATGATTGTACATTTGTACCTACAGTATAATTACACAAAGAAATTTATATTTTATATATTATTTACATTTCTTGTTCATCAAAATATATTAGCATACTTATTTTTATTTAATACTATATAACATTGAATACATATAATTAATACAGTGTATTAGTTTAAACAAAATCTTGGTCACAAAATATTCAATTAAAAAAAAGATTAGAATCAAAAGTGAGAATTAATGTTACCTTAGTTACATTTGAGTAGTTAGGGTAGTGATTTACAGTTTTTATATAACTCAATAAGTAATTAACTATGATATTTAAAATTGTGTTGAAACTATATTATAGGTGCATATTTAATTTCATATCAAACTATCAAAGATTTAAATAATTGGTACCCAATTATAGTTATAATTTATAATAATATATTAATATTATAATTATAGCTTATATTTTAATATACAATAAAAATAATGACAAAAAATAAAATTAATGAAAAACAAATCTATTTTGTATAACTTGCTATACATACTAAACGTCATCCTGAACAGTATACAATATTTAATCATCCTGAAGTTCTCTGAACCTGGAAGTTAAATCAATACCTGCAAAATAACAAAATAAATATATATAAATTCAATCTTATGAATACTAAATAAAAATAATATAATACAATCTTTTTTGAATTTAAACATGCAGGTAATATCAATATTATAAATTTAATATATTTTGAAAAATATGCGTTTGTATTCTAGTATTCATTCAAATAAAAATGTCAGTGCCTAAAATGGAAAGTGAAATATATTATTATTATAAGTGAGTTTTAAGTACTTTTTAAGTTAGCAATAATATATTTTATATTTTACTAATATTTACTAAGATTACTAGAAGGCATGTTATTGTTTGTAATTACAAACTACTGTAGAAATTAATTTTACTAAATAATAATTTTGAAATTATGTTTAATGCTGATGTATGTTTACTATTTTGTTTATTATTGGCATCTACTTTATGTATATTTTCTATTATTACATTATTAGGTACCATTCATACCTTATTGTTGTTACCTACTTTAAAATATTTGTACGACTAATGTGGTTTCTATGTTACAAATAGGGCAACGGTTGTGGATTAAATTGCCCAAGCAATCTCTGCACAAACATTTGTGTCCACAGGGAATGCATGCGTGGCTGTTTACATTGATTAAACAAATAACACAGCAATTGGCTGGTCTTGGTTGAACTTGATTGATATCGAGAGGAACATGAGGGATGTTTTCCCTGTCTTGAGCCCTCCTCCGTTCCTCAATTTCCGCCATGGCAATGAACACCGGATCATCATCCTCCTCCAATACAAAATCAGGTTCATCTAGATTATAATAAAATACAGGTACTTAAAAAATAAGTAAATAAATAACATTTAAATTAATAATAATGGTTACCGTTAAAAATATTTAATGCATTATCTTGTTCTGTTTCCATCTCCCTTCTGCGATTTTGTTGTTGTAAAATTAATTCTCTTAATTCATTTTGTCTATTAAAACCTAATTCAAAATTGAGTTTAATCTATATTTGCTGAAGAAACATCTAATTTATAAAAAAAATCATTAGGTTAATGGTAAAAATAAAATTCTACATGAAACTAAATCTCTTTAAATCAAACATTTAATAAAACTAATAACTATACCTACATAATAATAATAATATAATAAAGACTGCTATACATAATATTAGAGAGACTATAAGCATAAAATTAGCAACCGTTTATGAACACTTATGTCTTTATACCTATAGTTTTAATGTTAATAATACTAATTTGTGTGGGTAATTAGGTCACCAGTTAAGTACTTTTTAATTATAATTTATATTTTTAATTTTATTATTTAAGTAACATCCAAAACATTTAATACAACAAATTAATATACAAGGCTCGTAATAGGAATAGGTAGGCATTGGACGTGTTTTCATGGGGGGGTCCCTGTGCATATTTGAGCAATTCTTAGCATATTTGTGAATATTTCGCATTTTTTTTTTTTTAGTGCATTTAGAATGGTCGGAAAAATCATATTTGGATAACATTCAAAAATATTTTTTAAAATAAATTCGGTTTGGGTAGATAGTATAGGTGCAAATAGCGCTTGAGATTTGGTGAGGCTGAAGCCTGAAAAGTCCTACTATTATAATATTAAATAAGCTTAAAAAAAAATCTAGAAAATATTTCGGAGGGCTGTTCAAATTGATGGTGGTAGCTTCTTCCTATTTATGTACAAAGAAATGAAAATCAGAAGATACCTAGGTGGTTGGTTTTGTATTTGAATACCAAGTCTTTCTATTCCTATACACAATATATTAACAATTGAACATATATTTGTAAGTACTTAAATGGTATTATTTTGAGCTCAAATATTTTAAATTTGGTAAATATCAAACCTCCAACAACGTTATCTTCCACATTTTCAGTAGGAATTTGTTCTGAAATGTTATTTAAACAAAATAATAATTAGATACTTGCATTTTGACATTGTGAACATTGAGCCATGAATATTTTGATTATTTTTTTATTTACCTTCAATAGTTTCCAAGATGTGGGGAGGTACGATTCCATTTTGAACCTCAACATTGCGAACCCCACGTCTTCGTTCTAAGAAATACAATTTTTTATGTAAATATTGTATGTTGCCCAAAATGATGATTTTTTTTTATTTAGATTCACTTGAAAATTACTAATTATCTTTTAATTTCTTTTAGATATTGTATAGTTCATACCTGCATCATAAGCCAGATGCCCAGTGTATAACAAAAATTCTTTGACAGAAATTCTTCTCTGGGCCAACCGTTCACATGCAGCACTGATTTTCCTGTCAAGTTGAACATAAGCTCGACGTCTGGCTCTTAGAGTTGGCCTTTGTTGTATTCTCTCATATTTTGTCCCATATTCTTTTTCAATTTTGATCAATGTTTCTATTGATATTATTCATTGAAGTATTTTAATTTATTGCATTAATTAGTAGAAACTAGAGTGGAAGAAAAGTATATATTATATGACTTTCGATTGGTTTGGAAAAAAAAACTCAATAACTAGGGAAGAATAAAGAACATTATTTAACATGAATTAAAATATTTTTAAAACAGGTTGGTTTTTGTCAATTTCATCTACTAGATAAGTCATATAATAAGTTTAAAGGTATACAAATGTACTGAGGTTTTTTAAAAACTAACTCATTTAATAAAAAAATAATATTTTTTCGAAGGGTTCAAAACAATGATTATGTATGTGTAGTATATTAAAATATAACTTTCAATAATGTAAATGTGTTGATTTTATTTTTATAGTGATGTTACATTTAACTTACTAGTAAAATGCCAAATACCAGGACGTGGACAATTCATAATGGCGTTTAAATGGCGGTGAAATATTTCCTGGTCATTATTAGTTCTTCTTGGCATGCCATGTACAGAAAAGGATTCTGGTCCAACACCTAATGTTAATTAATATTATTAAGGATAAAGACTTCTTAAGGTGATGTTAAAAATATTGTGTTTAGGTAGGTAATTGTTGTAATTATGTTAAAAAAAATCTGTAACTGGTTTGACTGAATATGAACACAAATGCCGGGTCGCATGAACAATTTATTAATTTAATGGACCAATCACGATTCACGGGCCATTAAATCAAGTTAAGGGACCATTAACTCGCTATTGATTCGTTAAATGTTTAGTGATTGTTCATGCAACCCGGTAAAACTTACAGAAAAAACAAAGTTACGATTTATTTTTATTTAATTACTTATGATTTAACTTTTAAAATTAGATACTTAGTAATCTCAATACATACATTCATTTATAAGGATTAATTTAAAGAATAAATTGTGGCTAAATAGATATTAAGACTTAATTTTTATCATAATTTATTATTGGAATAGTAAAACTGAAGTGTTCACTATCTGTAAAATAAATGGATATAAGAAAAATTGAGTTTTAAAATTCTATTCGTAAATCTAAAAAGTTACAAATTATTGTCATGATCACATATGTATTACCTATTTAATAGTTTTAATTTTTAAACAAATTTAAAAAATTAAATGATAATTCTTTTAGAATTACTCACGTTCCATCCACTGATTTTTAAAATATGATATGTATCGTTCAGCAACCTCAACATTCTGAGAACGTCTAGCCTCCTGGACCACCACTTCAAACCCTTCAGCAATCTTTTCAGCTGGCAAAAGTGCGAGAGCTTTTGACATACGAAGCATAGTATGCAGCGCATTGTCAATTCTGTATACTTGTCTTCGTGTGCCAAAGTCTTTGGCATTTTTTTCAAGTGCCTATGTATATAAAAGTAATTGTTTTGGAAACTTATTTCATTATAACATTATTTAATATTTAATCTTTAAACGGCACAATACCATAAATTAAAATATCTAAATTTTACCTAATAGAATTAAAATTGTTAAATTTTTTAGGATAATTTCTTACTTGAGCCATGTGAAACCAGCATTTCTGTAAACTGGCTCCTGGAAAAACATTGGTCAATGCATTGCTCAACCCTACCTCATAGTCTGTTACAATGTTTGTGGCACTAATACCGGGAACACAAGTCCTAATGTGTTGTAGCACACTGGTGTATGCCGCTTCAGTTTTTCGCGTCATAAGAGCATATGCAACTGGAAATGCCTGTTAAAATAAACAGAGTAGGTGGTAGGTAAGTTAGTTTATAAAAAGTTGGTATAATCACTATAATGTATTAAAATATAACATTAGTTATGTATTAATGTTTAAACAAAGTTTACCTGGTCCATGTACATGGCCATAATTATTAACAATTGTTCTGTTGCTGGAACCAGAGGCCTACTCTTAAACGTTGCATCAACATGTATTTCTCGAGCAGAAGTAAAAAGGCTAAAAATTGTTTAAATTAAGATAATTGTTGAATATACAAAAGGGTAGATTTATATTCTAACATTCTTAACATTATGTTCTTGACATACAGTTAAAATAAATTACTTTTCTAGGGATGGAGAGATGAATACGACTGCTGATCCGGCATCAGGAGCACCCATTACAAATCCTTTGAACATAGCTCGTCCGTTAGCCGTTCTAAACAGGTGACTGTAGCGAGGATCTACCAAATCACCTGCATACTCCATTAGATCATTTGGAATTTTCGGTTGAGCTGCAGCTCTTGCCCTCTCCATACTTCTTAAAAATGAAGTGTACTCCAAACGATCTTCCAAGCCTTGTGTTCTAAACAGGTAATGTAAGATACAAATAAAATAAAATATATGTGCAACTTTTTTTAAAAATAAAAGTACTGCTTCCGCCACTTCATAATTATTAAATGAAAAGACAAAATTACTACCTTGATGTCTCTTCTTCATAAATTATCCTATGTGGGGTACATTCTTCTGCACATCTTCGTAAAATATTTTTTTTCAGATTTACCAGTGCCGAGTAACCCATGTCAGGATCATGTGTGTGGGTATGCTTTTCATGCAATAAATTGTCCACAATGAGACCTTTAAGAAATTGGTAATACAATAATTGGTAATAAACCTATTTGCAAAACTTTTTCACAAAAATTATCATATTTATTACATACAAAACTTATTTCAATAATTAAATCTGTTAAATGTATTTACTTACTATTCACATAAGGTATCTATAAAAACTTTAATTTTTCCAAATAGTATTTATTAAGACCAACTATTTTAACATAAATTAATTTTTTTTTTTAAATATTATGTTATAAGTACTAGAGTGCCTAGTGTATTTTTCATCTCCGGAGAGTCCTACAGTCCTTTTACTCAGTCTCCAATCTCCTAGCTCAAGTTGTGAAATTGATTTCGTCCTAATTAAAATAATTACTACTAAAATTTATTAAGTATAACATATTTAATTACCAGTAGCAGTACAGTCTGTTGTTAAGCATTGTAGCGATTTTGAATTGGGCCTAGAACATTTAAGTTTGTAGAAATATCCATTGTTGCAGTGGAAAATTTTACTATTTGCCCTGAATCCTTCAATTGTGACGAATTCCATCATATAAATTCCAACTTAAATTATTGTATAATAATGAAATGGTCAATAGTTAGGAAATGAGTAAAAAAACGTGTCCGAAATAAGTTGATCAACTCGGTTAAAACGTTATTACACAAATGAGAAATCGTCGATGGACGGACGATGTTCTATTGTTACTTGGTGATAATTGCGCTTTTTAATTTTGTAGTATTTACATGTTTTATTTTAAGACGTTAAAAAACAACAACACTGTTTAAAAAAAAAAAATATTTTGCTGTAGGTACCCCTCGTAGTTGGTAGAGCCACCTCTCCACGCCACACACCACTTGTAATCTTTAAATATTTATATTATAATATCTCGTAAGCTAATCGTCTAAAATTAGTTTTTATACAATGATAAGTACACCGAATAATAATCTGTTTCGGAATATTAAATAAAAAATAAGTAAAAAATGTGATTGTATGTGACAATGGTTCACCACGAATATTGGATATAATTTTAATATCGGCTATCGATAACTATTTGTCGTTATTACAAATTAGCCTAAATCTGCAGGCAGGTACATGGTTTGTTGACTGAAATTTTAGGATTGCCTTTAAATTTTTAAACAATTATATCCAATGACTTAATAAATTAAATATTTGTTACCGCAGTCAGAATAGTAGTACCTATATTCCTTTCATCGGAAAAGTGAATCTACATATTATTTTGAACAAATATCTAGTGTTGCATATTGTTTTTAAAATAATGTCAGACTCGATTTTCACAAAGATCCAATATTTTGACATTTCGATTTTGAAGTACCTATAGCAGTCAATTACTGCAAAACATATTTTCGGAATCCATATTACGATATAATATTTATAGAGGACATCGCAATAATGTTTTCTCTCTGACCCAATCGCAACATTGACAAACGCTTTCACCAAACAATTTTTTATAAACAACTCATCTTAGAGTAAAATCACCTATAAACAGATGCGTATTCATTACTTCACACACCCCCAAAAAATATAAGGCTTTTTCTAAACAATGATATATGTACCTAGGTATATTATATATATGTATATTAAAAAAAAAGGTACCTTTTAAGTTCTCAGCTATACGGCTATACCCAGGCGCGGACTGGTAAAAAAGGGCAACGGGCAAGGGATGCTAATCAATTTAAAGGGCAAATAACAAAAATTGTTGGGGCAAATTTAAAACATGTAGATAATTTATAAAATATTAATATATTTTATTTTATTTTGAAAAAATATTAAATATTGAATATACGCTAAAAACATAAATAAGTACTAAGTTACAACAAACTTTCAATCAAAATTTCACAATATTAGATCACTAATAATCGTAAGTTGGTAATAACGATCTGCTGTTCATTAGGTATCTAGAGTTTTTAAATATATAATAAATAATATTAGGCAAATATATTTTAGGGCAAGGGATGCTATAGCATCCCAGCATCCCAGTCAGTCCGCGCCTGGCTATACCTGTTCATGTAACCATTATAGGCTGTAAACTTATAAAGCCGAATCAAAAATTGGCTACGAATGAGTATGCTACGAAACAATATAATACCTATTAGTAGCCTTTTATTAAATTAGCTATGGAATTTGTATTTGGGGATAGGCGCATACAACTTGCCTGCAGTGGCGCACACTCAAAATAAATAGGGGTAGCAAATTGATTCGGTCACCTCTATATTGGCTAATAGACTAATGGTTATAGCCTATAATTATTCAATAGTTTATTTTCAATATTTTTATATGTAATAGAATTTTCATGATGTAAATATTTTGGGGCCAGGGGGTCTACCCACCCACCTACCAAAAAAATCAGGGGTAGCAACTGCTACCCTTGAACCCTCCAGTGGCGGATCCAGGGGGGGGGGGGGCAAAGGGGGCATTTGCCCCCCCCCCCAAACGCCCTGTAGTTGCCCTATCTTTTATATCGTAGATATTAATACTTCTAGTAGAGTTAGGTACAGTTACAGTATTCAATAATCATATAATCATATCATATCATATCATATCAATTTCCATACGAGAGTTTTATTGTAAACATGGAAAAATTACAATCCTGATAATTTCTCACCAGTCTAATAATAGCACATAAGTTATTAGGTTTCCTTATCATAGTTCTGGTGATTATTGACAGTCGACACAGACGTAAAATGTACGTTTCGTGTGCGCTAATTAAAATAATTAAAAAAAAATTTTTTTAAAAAACACTTTTCTAAAAAAAAAAAAATAATGAAAAATTTAAAAGTGTGGTATAATATGTCAAGTGTAAGAGCTCCACACACTTTTAAATTTTTCATTATTTTTTGTTTTTTTAGAAAAGTGTTTTTTAAAAAAAAATTTTTATTTTTTATTTTCTACTCTTTAGTTAAAAAATTTTTTTACGGATTATTGTATTGTCATCCAAGACCAAGGTCTATACCAATTTTCAGAATTTTTCATCTTCAAAAAGTGCCTCAAATCGAGCGCGCAAGATTTGATCACAGACGGACGTGAAACCAAACTTAAGAAAAGTGTTAAAAATAATAAAATTCAGGATGGACAGATATTGTGTAAATGTTGTAAAATATTTTGAACTTTTGCCCCCCCCAAAATTAAGCCCTGGATCCGCCACTGGAACCCTCCAGTGTGCGCCACTGCAACTTGCATACTTATCGTCTTAAGGGGCCTGGTCGCGATTTTTCAAATTTTCCGCAATTCTATAAAATTTGAAAATTTGAAAATTAAATTTTATATTTTAGTTGCCACATCAATTATAAGACTTTTCCACTAATCTACTACCCAATACCTATTTAGGGGGGGTTGATAGGGTGTATTTTATCGGTCAAAACACAGTTTACAGGAAAACTCTCACACCTCGTAGATTGGTCCGATTTCCGTAATTTTTTTTTTGTTAGATAGAAGAATATTTTTTACAGGGCGCATTGGACTTTGATTTTTGATTACGTTGCTAAAAATAAATAATAATACAAAAACTAAAAAGGTGTAAAAATGGATTAAATTCAAACTTGTAATATAAAATTTCGAAAAATAATTTTGAAAATCCAAGTCCAATGCGCCCTGCAATACGTCTTTCTCTATTTAACAAAAAAAAAAATTACGGAAATCGGACCAATCTACAAGGCGTGAGAGTTTTTCCTGTAAGGCATGTTTTTGAGCAAAAAAACAGGTCGCGACCAGGCCCCTTAATAGGTTACCATAAATAGATTAATTACATTTTTATTACTAAAGTCTAGGTATTATAACAATAATTCTTCATATTTAGATATTAATGTATCACCCACAAATAGTTTATATTTTAGTAATACTTTACTTGGCTTATTTAAATTTAGACAAGGTAAATCCCTTGTATAATACGCGTTATAAAAAAAATTTTCAATATACCTATCTAAAAATTTAATAAGCAAATTGGAACCAAATTTTGTATATATTATGTTGAAATTCAAATATGTAGACTTCTAAAAATTAATATTCATGACTTTTTTAATTTAAATACATTTAAGTCATATAAAAAAAAAAATTGATTTTTCTGAAATTTACCTATTTTAATTTAGTATTTGGATTTGTAATAAAATTTATTTTTTATGGAATCATATTTGCTTGTACAACATTTTGTGTACTAAAAATTGTATAATTTGTAAAACGTTGATTGTAATGAATTCAAATTTTTCATCCCCTCCACAAGCATTATGCTTATAAGAGAGTTCGCATCTCTTTTTTTAGATTCTGAGCGGAGCGATGAATGTATTGGTTTTACAATGATGTATGTTTTTTTTTATATTTTTATTTATATTTTTGTGTCTGTCATCACGTTTTAGGACAGTAAAAATGCTTGGATTTTCTTCATCAGTAGCTTTTCTGGTAGGAAAGTGAATCTAGTTGGTACTTTGGGGGGTCAAAAGTATAAATTTCCCAGTAGTTTTCACAAGCGCCGGGAAAAACAACATAAAAATTAAGGAAAAACAGGAATTTTTACGCAAAATTGGTTTTCCAAAAAATCGATTTTGGTTATTGGTGTAACTCTAAAACAAATGAACGTATATACATGAAATTTTTACTGGTTGTTTATATTTGCATTTTCTATACACGATAACATTTTCAAAATATTTTGATTTATTTTGAACTGTTTAGGGACATTTTCATTTTCCATTTTTTTTTAAGTTTTTTTTCTAAAAATATCAATAAAATTTTATTTATTGGTTGCGAAAGCTTGAAAATTTAATAGAAGGTTCCTAATATGTTTTTTAAAAGGCAGATGAAAAATATTAAAAATCCTTAGTCACAATTTTTTTTTATAAGCATTTAAAGTTCAAAAATTGACAAAATATGGAAAAATCACGAAAATTAGCAAATTATTTTGAGTTAAGAATTCGTAAAAATTTTTCTATTTAAATCTAAGATTTGAAAATGAAACACAAGATTCCTTATAAGATTATCTACCTTTATCAATAAAAAAATCTCTACCGGACAGTCAAATTAAATTTTTATGAGCGTTTGAAATTCAAATTTTTACAACATTTGATTTTCACTCGATTACTCATGTAGCGATTTCCTTATTTTGTTGCAATTCAAAAACGAACAACTGTAGATACATGAAAATTTCACTGAATGTTTAAATTAGCATTTTCTATACACCATACAATTTTGAAAATATTTTGACTCTTTTTGAGCTGTTTATGGACATTTACAGCTTTCAATTTTTTTTAGTTTTTTTTTCTATAAATATCAATTAAGGTGTATCTGTTGGGCCAAAAAGTGTAAAAATTTAATACAAGGCTCCTGATATATTGTTACAATATCAGTTGAAAAATATTAAAAATACATAGGCATGATTTTTTTTTATAAGCATTTAAAGTTGGAATTTTGACAAAATTTATCAAAATCTCGAAAATTATCAATCGTTGGAATTAAAAAATTATAAAATGTTCAGTTTTTATAACTAAGAGTTGAAAATTTAAAACAAAGATTCTCTTAAATAATTCATACTGTAACCAAAAAAT